AAATATCGCCATGATATTTCTGAAGTATTTGTTTGCATCAGGTGTCACCAGTATCAGTTCATCAGAAAATCTCTGTTGAATTCAAGAACTCACCCTATGAGTAGTGTCTCGTATATTATGAGAGCATCTCTATTAAAATTGAAATTGAAACTTTTCAAACCTTATTGAAAAAACATACGATGTGCGTTTGAGTTTTATTATCCCGAAAGTTAATCGCACTCAAGGCGACTTCTTCTTGTCATTAGTCATCGTATTTACTTAGGTATAACACTAATCTGCACCACGTGGTCTTCAAATGAAAGCTACTGACCTATACCCTAAATTGAACTTTCCAGTTGTTTTTTTTTAATAAAATATCATCATGCTCAAAATCACTTTACGTATTTTTAATAATATATCAAGGAAAACATGCGGATGCATCATTCAACAACTGAGTAACAAACGATTACTTGAAAAGGGCAACTTTATGAAATCGAACACAGTAGCAGCATTTTTTATTAATTCAATTTGAGATATACAATATAGAACCATTAACTATTAGTAAAACAATTGCACCAGTTTTCAATAAAACACACAATAGTTATACAAGCAATGAAACAGCTTCTTACCGCTGGCAGGATTGCCATAAAAAATGTTTTTGAGAAAGTAAGAGTGTGAAAATTGATTCAGTTATTTAGTTTGCATGTCGTGCTCCAGTTGAAGACCTACTATAACAGGCGCGTTCGTTTGTCGACCTTTGTTCTAGAAAGGAACTTAATTTCTACAAATATAAATTCAAAGATTGTTAGATTTGTCGGGAATATATTCATACATAAAAGATTTTTAAAATACCAGAAATATGAGATTTGTCTCCTGCATATTTTCTATGCGTTATGCTGAATGACGCCACTGGTAGCCATAAACCAATTGTGACGTAGCTAAGAGTGAGCGAATGTACGATGTTCGCTGCCGTTCTAAATGTAGCGAGAATAATGCTACCGGCTTCGATAGAATTCCGATGAATGTTTCGGCGCATTCGATTGCCAAATATAAGCGCCATCGAGACAGTCAAGTGGAAGTGACAGTGCGGTACGCGAAACGATCTAGTAAGGCGATAGACATTTGAATAATAGTTGAAGTTTTAGTTAAAGTGTTTGTTGTATTTGAAGTGAAATAAATTTAAGTTTAATTATTGTTCAGTGCAGTCAATTATGGTAAACCCACGAGGAAAAACGTAACAATACAAACAAAAAATTCGAAATTATGGTATCATAATCACAAATGATTCATGTTCGCTTGAGTGTGGCAAGATAATCTATGATTTTTAACAGAAATGATGTTTTACTTACGATTTTGTTTTGTTGTTGTTTATGTAGTTATTGATAAAAAAAGTTTAGAATAATTGTCACTTTGATAGGTACTTCAGGAGAATTATTTTGCTAATTGACTTTGTCTAATTCAGTTTTTTTCCAACAGTGTTCATCACACTGGGTAGGCGGTTTTGAAAAATTAACATTAATTACCTCAGCGAATAACTGAAACGTGAGGATGACTGCCGCAGTTGCAGTTGAAACGTTTAGAGATTGTAACCAAAGAAGACCACGGCAAAACCCGGAAACCAACCAAAACACAAAGGAAAAAAAATTGTTTGAAGTTTACACTAGTTTTTTTTTATTACATACATATGTTTTTGACATATTTTTTTTTAATCTAAACAAAAATATAGCATAACAAATTGTTCATTTAATAGACAAATTATTATGAATTTAGTTTTCTTTGGTTTATTGTAGATAATCAATAATAAATTGTAAGATAAAAGTTTTTGAATACATTGTTTAAACAGTAATACATAAAAAATAACAACACAATATGATTTTTGTGAACAATCAAGTTTCATAACAAGTGGAATGCCAAAAAAGTCTGATAGATATGTAATTGTTACACTCACTTTGATGAAAATATTTTCTACTTTCAGAGATAAAGTACAGCTGTCATATAGCCTTCACGATATTTGGGTTAACGATTATCTGACTATGAAGAATGTAAATGAAAACTCTAAAAAACAATTGTTAATTTGAGAAGAGAAATTATGCTCAATTTTTTTCCTTCAAGTCTAGGTCATGAAACAGTTTTCCTAAATTTTCTAATTGATATGTATTAGTTTAAAATAAAACGTTTATTTGAAATGACTGCTTTCCACATCTCATGTAACTTTGCATAACATGCAAACTCTAAGAGTAGCTACTTTTGCGTAAACTTCTTCATCTACAAAAACCTAATTTGCTTATAACTTTTGCAATTATTCATTTGCAGGTTTAAAACTTTCAAATATTTTTGTGGGTGTTATTTATAATTCCATTCCTTATCAAGATACTCTTCCAGCATGATAGGAAGAAATATTTTTTATCAATAGTATTTCTCCTTCTATTAATGTTAGCTTCAGCATACATAAGTGCCTCTCAAAGATCTATTTATAGAACCTCCTCTTTATCCCAGACTTTGCCTTTGACAAGATTATAAGTTTCAGAATTCATAAAGTTCCATATTTTTCCAATATAACTAAATGTGTTCTCGACAGTTTATTTCATTATCAAGTCTAATATAAACATTTGATATCACAAATGATTTGTTTATAATATTGTTGGCCACAAAAAACATTGTTTTGTTTCAATATCAGAATAATGTGCGTGTTAAGTATGTTTGCTATTATTAATAGTGATACTTGAATATATTTTACTTTAACCATTGAATAACTGTAGGAGTTTTATCTTTGTTGACATGAACAGGTCGTTTAATGATAGGCAAATAGATGCCTAATCACGTTATTTGAATTTTATATTTCAATAAAATACACAATTATAGCCATTTTCACCTAATTTGAATAGTATCTAAATTCTTTTAGAATATGTTGAAGATATTGATTTTTTGTTTCTTCTTCGATTTCTCAGATTAATCTTTGTGGCATTTTTTCAAATGGTAGTTAGCACCACCCACTTTAAACTAATTTTGTTTAGCAGAGAAATTTCAAGATAATGTTCTTAATAGGAAGTCGACAAAATTTATCAATACATTGGAAAAATGATTCGGTAGGCCTGATATAATTATATAAGACCTAATAAATTGTGTGAGGAAGATTCCCATGTTGGGACTGGGTGAGGGAAAATAGAGTATGTTTCAGTTGTTTGAGATCATCACATCACACAAAACTTTGTAAAAGCAAGAAAAAATGGCTCCCTTCACATCCTGATTCCATTGGAATCAGGAAGTCTGAAGTTTTATTAAGAATAATTCCTGTGGAATTAACTGGCCCCAAAGGTAAAATCAACAGATACGCTCTTTTTGATGAAGGGTCTACGGTTCCCATGGGCGACGCTGTATTGGCTGAGAAAATAGGCGCTACTGGACCAATAGAAAGTTTGAAACTCAGTTGGAGAAATTCTATGATCTGCGAGGACTCCTACTCAAAAAAAGTCAGTTTGAATATAAAGGAAATAATGGAGAAACTGAATGTTATGAATAATGTTGGAACTATCCATTCACGAAATGGAATCATCTGCAACAAGTAGATATTGAATATATACACTGTGTAAAACCACCAATTCTTATAGAACAGGACAACATCAATCTCATCATTGCTGTAGAAGTCCACAAAGAAGGAAACCACCAACCTATTTTGTCTAGATCGAAATTGGGATGACTAAAGTATAACTTTTTAGACCGTATTTATGAATAAATTCAAAATGCTGGTTAAATTGAAACCCTAAATATCACTACATAGTATAAAACAAAGTTGCTTCCCACTGTCTGTTTCTATGTATGCTTAGATCTTTAAAACTGTGCAACAGATTTTGATGCAGGTTTTTTATTAGATAGAATGATTAAAGAAGGTTAATATGAATATAACATGTATAGTATAGTAGAGAATTACTAATAATTTTAGAGGTTTCTAATGTGATGTTGCAAATGGTCGGTCGATAGCCAAGCGGTTCGGCATGGGTGCTTTGTTCACTCACTCGAATTGACTGCCGTGTTGGTCGGTGGTTCAAGCCCTAGTCTGAACGATCGATCTTCACTTGCTATCGTCCAACCCGTGTTAGGAATCACACGTTAAAAGGTAAGACCTCGTTAATCCTTAGCTCGCACAAGTTTCGACTTCTGAGGGTTGTCGTTCGTAGGGGTGCGACAGCTGGTTAACGGAAAAACAGATTTTAAACAGACAGACAGACAGAAATAAACACATTTTATTAGCTTACATTGCAAACGCTGGCTGAACCCTACGAGATAGATCAAAAAATGTACTACAGTATTGTACACCTTAAAAAGGTCTACAAAAAAGTTTGTGATGTCTATCTCTCAGATATAACCCACAATAACCCTTTTTTATCCTCAAGAAATAATATGGCATTAATCCTTATCCAATTTGGTACCTTAAATATATTGTGCATTTAATATAGGTCAAGATGGCCTTTCTTAGCATGTAATTCAAGTGAATATTTTCGAAGATATTACAGATTAAAAATGCAGGGACATAGCGGTTGCAGCGGTACCGGCAGGGGGGCCGGCAGCTCGTGCCTATAAATAGCGCGTCGAAGTTTGTTTGAAGGTGATTGACAATGTTTCGTGATGAATTTCACTAGTTCGGACTTCCATTGTCTATTATATAAAATGATTTGAAATTTTGTTCTTGGCTAGGATTCTGTAGTTTGAAGTCCCATACTTAAGTCATGCTGCTTTAAACAGTTTATACTGCTTAACATTAAGGTCCTCATTAACAAAAATCCCTGTCGTTGCAAGCGAGTTTTTGGTTCTGTAAATCTCGTTTTTCTACTGGTTTAGTGTTGGTATTATACTTTTCGATTCTGTATACATCATATATGTCAATCTCATCACATTTTATTTTAATTTTATTTTGTACTATTTTGTACTATTTTATACTATCCAATATATTTTCTTCTTCCATTTCAGGTATACCTTCGAATGTTAATGTACTTCTTTTTTGCCTTAAAATCAGTTCTTCAGTTTTAAAACATTTTGTACAATTCTTCTCTTATCACAGATAACCTTTCCTTATCTGTTGAATCAACTACTAAGATTACAAACTGAAACAAAAGAGAAGAGAATATAATTTTTCAACAGTTATTTCAACTGTTTTATGGCATAAGTTGTATCAATATGTTTACAACATAAACAACATAATAGTGAAGTGTAGGTCAAGAATGAGTCACAAATATATGTAGAATATACGTGTTTATTTTGTTTTTCACTTTTCCTTTTCCTTTGAACTGTACAAACCTCATTTTGATGAGGAATTGATAACGAGAGTTTTCACCTAAAAATCTGAATACATTTTGAAAGACAAGGTTATTTTTGTATATGTAATATTGTACTATCCTTCATTTATCATCGAGTTTATTACATTGTGTAGTATTTCCCGTGAATTATATTTATTTTAATTATATGTTATCTGTAGAGTTGTTTCAGATAAACTCTTTCTTCTGATTTATAATAATTTTTTTACAGTTATTTCAACTGTTTTATGGCATAAGTTGTATCAATATATTTACAACATAAACAACATAATAGTGAAGTGTAGGTCAAGAATGAGTCACACATATATGTAGAATATACGTATTTATTTTGATTTTCACTGTTTTATGGCATAAGTTGTATCAACATGTTTACAACATAAACAACATAATAGTGAAGTGTAGGTCAAGAATGAGTCACAAATATATGTAGAATATACGTATTTATTTTGATTTTCACTTTTCCTTTTCCTTTAAACTGTACAAACCTCATTTTGACGAGGAATTGATAACGAGAGTTTTCACCTAAAAACCTGAATACATTTTGAAAGACAAGATTATTTTTGTATATGTAATGTACTATCCTTCAATTATCATCGAGTTTATTACATTGTGTAGTATTTCCCGTGAATTATATTTATTTTAATTATATGTTATCTGTAGAGTTGTTTCAGATAAACTCTTTCTTCTGATTTATGTATGAAAAAAAAATTATCTACAGATTTCTTCCAATTTCCATGTTTTTCATTACCAAAGGGGAAAAAAGCGTATTTTCTAAACAATAAAGTCCACAAAATTTTATTTTTCAAAAAATAACTGTCTGTCATAAGCTTATATAGTTGTTGATAGGTTTGTATATTGAGAAAGATGCTAATATAAATTTAAAACCAGTATAAATACTGCTCCCACACACTGAAACTGCATCCCAGAAAAGTTTTTCACCAACTAAGTTGTTATCAGATGACCTGTACTAAATATGGAAATAGAATCCCAGTTGGAAATAATAGGGTTTGGTAAAAATTATCTCAGTGATAGGAAAAGGAACCTTGTATTGACGACTATCAAACTTATGAATGGATTGTATCTTCAAACCAATCAGAACTTCCCACAGGTAAAATCATGTTCAGATAATTTTTTTTTATGCAGACAACAGCCTCCTCGATTACAAGGATAATCCATGACATACATAGTCAAAAAAATCCATATTATATTTGAATATACAACCAACACCTTATAAAATTGATGATCTTCTTGTTTTCATTGACAATCAGGTACTACCTGAATATATTTCGTTAATGGGGCACTGGCTCGAAGCTGATGAACTTTGTTATCTTCCTAACTATACACTAGCTTCTAAATACTGTAGAAATTCTTTGAATAATGGGGGAACCATAATATTAATTGAGAACAATTTTTCTGATACTTTCACTTTATAAAATGTGAATAGATTTGATAATCTACTTATAGAAAGCATCTTCAAGTTTCTTTTAGTATACAATAGATGGAATGGGGAATGTTCCTCCTGACGAAACTCAAGTAGTTTTCATAAAAAAGATCTAAAACAACGCATTTTAAACTTATCATTTCAACCTTTTTCTTTAATAAATTATTCAAATACTGAAAAGAGAGGAATGAAATAATGCAGTCAACATTTAAAGGAATTCGTTTCTATTTCACCATTTGGCAACTTCGGTTATAGCTAATAAAGGACAATGAATCTGTTACCTGTATGAGACAAACAAAGATGACATATTTCAGAGGCACGCTGTTCTGTTTACTTATGTTCCGAGTTCCGAGACATTCTGTGACATATG